GGGGGTCCTGATTATGTTTATAGTATGTCTACCCCTAAGAGCCTAATCTAATCATTCAGGCCCCAATAGTTTTTTGAAGCGACACTCTGGAGACCCGAAGCTCCGGGAAACAGAAGCCCCAATCTTTGCAAGGTGCATGCGTCAGCCATGGGATGTAGGGTTCGATTACCGATACTCGTCCTTAAGGTTTCCTTCTTCTAGATCAATTTTGACAGACCCCAACATCCTATCCTCAGCATTAATTTCGCGGCCGCTATTTTAGGGAATTCGAGGTTCAAGCCAATGAGCAGACCTTATCGCAGCTTATTGTCCCAAAGTCCGTGAAATTGGAGCATTGTGGGCGTTCCTTTCGCCAAGCTTGCGTCAGTTTTGAACGCAGAGGCCCACAGCCTGGCACAAGGACCAGGCCCTGAACCTTTCCGAAATCGTAAATATAAGCATTATCCCCTGAACAACAATAAACCCGACATTCAACTGGGTAGATCTCTTATTTGGGGTCAATTCGTGTGTTTGACTTCATCAGCTTTCTGCGGTCTCCTCCAGCCTCCATCGCCCGTCGATTTTGGCCCAGCTGAGAGGGATAGCTCCGGTCCGTTGCCCTCACCTTTTTTTGGCAAGCATGGCTGCTTTCGTGAAGCATTTGCAGCATCCGCAGAACGCTGTGAGGGGCGTGCTGGGCTTCACCGGAAGCCTAGTTGTGATTCCGGCCGTCTTGTTGCCAGTGAGGCGACGTTGTGCAAAGGATGTTCAAGACATGGAGGACGAACCGAATGAACTGGCCGAGGTTTGCTTCGAGATGTACAAACCTCGAACAGAAAGGACAAGCCGAGGCTCCGAGCTTTTCGGATGGGAGCTCCTTGATCGCTTCAACAAAGAAAAGTGAGCCATATACAAACGGGACACTGACTTGTTGCTTGCGTTTCAAAAGGACTCACATTCAAGGGACTCAAAGGTGGAAGGACTTGCTCTCAGACCTCGTGATCCTCTTCAACGGCGAGTCCATGATGAACCTCGACCCCTACGTGGATGGCTTGAGGGCGGCTCAACGCGAGCATCCGGACATATCCCGGATCATGGTCACTGGGCACTCCCTCGGAGGTACCATGGCCTGGGCCGTGGCGACGCGTCTTAAGGACCTGGGACATGCAGACGTCTCCGGCCACGTGTTCAACCCTGGTTCGACCTGGGATATGGACAAGTACTTCACAGAGGAGCGGCAGCTTGCCGACGAGTCCCCTAAGTAGTCAGAAGATTTTCAGAAACAGCGAGCTCCCTGTGGATACTTACCAATGCTGTGTCTTGCATGTTGCCCCCCTTTTGTTTGTTGGCCTTTTGTCTTTTGGACAAGAACGTATACTTATTTCGAAACGAATCTGGAAGTTTCTGCAGAACCCAGAGCCATGAACTGAGGCTCAGCGAAGTCGTGGCCCACCATGTGGTCTGCGACCCGTTGTCTGCAGGCTGGTCAAAAACAGAGGAGATGATCAGCTACAAGCCACTGCTCAAGAACACGCACTCACTCCAGAATTCCCTGGAAACGTGACTGAGTCGAAGCTGACCTTGGAGTCTCGCATTGCTGGCTAAGTCAAGTTATTAAAAGGGGATTCTGGTGATGCTAGAAATGTCGTTCGCTGAAATCGTCAGTGCAGAAGTATCTACTGCCAGCAAAGCCCCTCAGCACGTCACCGCTCTGGTCCCGTACAGCGATCAGTTTGTGTGACGGCTCTTCCATTTTTTTCGTAAAGAACCTCAAAAGAAACCCCTCAAAAACTGTCTTCGCTTGATATCATGGTACTGAGTATACCATGCAAGAGAGCGGACGAGACATCCTGAAGTGTGCATCGCCATTGAAATTATGTGCCGGATGTGGTGTCAAACCTGCCTATGATTGGGGTTTAGCTTCAGGAACCTCTGGCCGGGACCGAGGCGAATTATTATCATTTGGAAATCACGAAAGGCACTGCTACTAGGCACTTTTATGGCAAATCTTGACCATCCACCTGCAGGTTGAGCCGAAGGCCAAGGCGAAGCTCAATCCACGTTGGAAGTGTCCGAAGAGTGCCTCATCAGAGTTTTTGATGGCGGTGGGGGATAGGGGAGGTAGGGTTTTGCTGCAGTTTCATAGGCTTCAGAGTTTCGGGTTTACGGGTTAGGGTTTCAGGGTTACGATGTTCGGTCCTAATTTTGCTGACGTTTTTGTTTTCTGGGTTTCGAGGGCGTGGAGAGGGGGTGGTAGGGTTTTGGCTTACGGGTCTAGGTTTTTCAGCCTCGGGTTTATGTTCTAAACGGTTTAGGGTTTTACGGTTGCGGCGTTCGTGTTTTTTTTCGTTCTCGGTTTCGGGCTATCAGAAACTCAGGGGTGCCTGACCTATGTATCATAGACACTCAAATGCTGCCTGCAGGGTGGTTGGGATGGGGTTCGAGGCTTTCGCAGTACAGGAGTCGTTTGAGTCGTTTGCTGAATTGTAGCCGCTGGGCGATTCTACATGAACCTCTCCTATGAACTTTACCGATAAACCACAGTTTGTTTTTCAGCCCACTCTGTTCCTCCAACAAGGCGGAAGATATCAACAAATCAAAGATCTCCATCCCCAGCAAACCCTGTCTGAAACCTTGATGCTTCCCACAAGCTTCCGATAAAACGCCAATCCGTGTGGAACCGATGTAAAAGTCCCCTCAAGTAGGAATCCGTCCGAAAGCTTCGAAGATCAGGTTTTCCGCTGCTCCACGCGGGGCTGGAGGGCCATCTCTATAGGGAGCATCTTGCCTCCAACGGAAGAGATTTTAGGATTCAGGACTGTAGGGCCTTGCTTTCGGGCTCTGGGGGTGTAGGGTTTAGGGCCTCTAAAGGGCCCGTCTTGCCTCCGATGGATGGCTTGAGGCTGACACCATGCGGCTCTGATGGGATGTATCTTGGGGCCTCAATAAATGAAACTGGAATAGGGCTGGGGGAGAGCTGCTATTCATGCTATAACTATACATAATAATAAACGTGTTGCACTGCCCCGAACAAGGCCCAGTCGCATGGGCCCCGAGCGCTGGAAGCATCCAGAAAACGTCGTGGGGACGAGGCGTGGCAATCAGGAAGCTGTAAGACTTTGGGATTCTCGGGTCTGAGGCTTCGTCTCTTCGGGTTTTTGAGGGCCCCACCATTTTCCGCGACTTTCTAGTGCGCTTTCGTGGTGCAGACAGTCTCTGCTATCCATGCCTGCAGGAAGCAAAGGACGTTGTTACCAGCACGATTTCACAGAACATTCGATGTCCAGAACACTGTCCACGGTGGGTGCCCAAGTCTCGATCCACATAATTGCAGTCCATCCCAAGCGCCAAAACTGGGATCCTAAAACATAAACTTCAACTCTCTGAATTGGAAGAGGCCGTTCAGGCCATCCTCCGTCAGTGAAGCCGTGTCGGCTACAGAATTAGCGCACCTAGGTCCCGCCAGTAGTGTATCCTTAACAAGATTGAACCGCACGGAAAGGGCACCCAGCGTGATTACTCTTGTCATTATTGTTCCCCTCCAAGACACCTCAGGGCCGGGAGAGGGGTCCGCCTGAATGCGAAGACATCGCTCCTAAAAGCGAACTTGGTGTCAGGTTTTAGGATTTAGGATAGGGTGTACAGGGCCTAGGGTTTCGGTCTTAGGATTTAGGGGTTTAATGTTTAGGGTTTAGGGTCGCCCGGGCAACGCTTTTACACGAGGTCTACCCACTCCCAGCTTCCTTTGTTGGCACCACCGGCTCCCTGCAAGCCTGGGACCCAGCCGTAAACCCTAAACCCTAGAAGCCCTAAAACCTACAGCCCTAGGCCCTAAACCTGAGAGGCAGTGGTACCAAGCCAACAACCTGAGCCGCTCGGACAGCTGTTGACACATACAATGACACTGATTAGCAGCAGCAAGACAGCAGTCAGAGTTTCTGATACTCCGGTGTTGCTTTGGGGTATCTAGGGTCGATCTACAGAGGTGTTGCTCCAAGGTCACAAGGCTCACAGCGTATTTCCCTTATGGTCCCTGAGGGGAAACAGTCCTGAACCCCAAACCCAGACTGGAAGCCCAAAGGAACCACTAAACCCAAGTGAACAGAAAAGCCCAAGACTATAAGATTGAAAGCATACTCTTTGCCATAGATCCCTGTTATGGTAGCTTAATCTAAACTCCTTGAACCCTAAACCCCTGAACCCTAAACCCCTGAACCCTGAACCCCTGCAACCTGAACCCTAAACCCAAAACCATAAGCCCCACAACCCTAAAGCCTAAACCCTGAACCTTAAAGCCTAAACCCAAACCTCAGAAGAAGCCTCACCGATGAGGTTACAAGAGGGGCGCTCGGGATGCCGGCCGAGGTTGGCTCCGGATTCAGCCTTAACCAATCCCTACCCAGACTCGGGTTACATGGTTTAGGACTTAGGGTTCAGGGTTTCGGATTTAGGCCCTAAATCCTAAAATTTTGGGGTTTAGGGTTCAGGGTTCGGGATTTAGGGTTTAGGGTTCAGGGTTTGGGATAAGGGAAATGCATGCCCAGCCACAAGACCAACCGGCCCCTATCCCCTAGACCCGAATTAGTAGAGACTTTCGGGCTTATGGTAAGCCCCCAGCCCAAGAGCCAGGAGATTGGGTCCACTGCGGCACGGGGGCGGTCCAGGGTGAGCTGAAGAAGAAAAGCGTCCCGCGTTGGCCGGCTACGAAAGTCAAGGCCCGGAAGGGCGCCGGCTCAGACCCTACTTGGAGGATCTTGCGACTTAGTAGGTCAGGGTTAGCAGTTACCAGTACCTGAATTGGAGAGTTATACGTACTTATAATATAACTTCAGGCTACCTTATGTAAGCCTAGTTAATCACTAAGTCCCATGATCCTCTATCTATGCTACATTGATCCTGATAATAGTAGGAAGTGACCAACAGAAGCCAACATAAACCGTTACGGCACGAGGCTTCGCTGTAGCGGCGCATGCATTTCATAGCCTGCTAACTGCTAGCGGCTGAGATTGAGAGTTGTTGTGCCCTTTCTTGGTAATGATGACCTCCGAGACTGCAGATCTGATCTTGGGGGCGGCATGTGCTGTAGCTTCTGTACAGCCTTTGTATGTCAGCGACAGCACCCAACAAGAGCAACCACCACATCCGCAAGCAAGCTTGGGCCCCGGCAGGAGAAAGCCAAGAAGTCGAGTTCCTTCACTTCCAAGGCAAGGCGGGAAATCCTACATACACCTGATGTGCCAGAGCCCTACAGCCCTAATCCCAAGCCTGAAAAACCCGTAAAGCCTACAGCCCTAAGCCCGAAACAGCAAACTTGCTGCTTGACCTTCGACGGTGTCGAAGCCCATGGTCAGTCCACAAATTTCAGCAGTGTCAGCGCAATCTGGAAGCCCAGAGCCGTTTGAGCTTCAGGGCTCCTCTGCGCCAGACTGAGAAGTAGAGGGTCGAACTTTGAGGAAGTTGTACGTAAACAACGACTTTTGTAGGTGGAGGATGGACAGCATAGCTACTGGTGTCGAACTGACGATGCGTCGGCCGTAGCATGGAAGGAAACTCGGCAACAGGAACTCCATATCGCAAGAGAATGCACGAAGAGTCACGGTCCTCCGACCCAGACCCAGAGTGATAGAACCACACAGCCGCACGTCGCTGAGTCAAAGCTGGAAGCACGGAACCAGATTTCAGCAAGGACCGGCCTGGAATAACAAAACTCTAAATGCCTAAATCCCGAGGCCGTTGAGTTGCGACCAAGTCATAGACCCATGGCCCTTGCCAAACAAGTCAGGAAAACGAGCCCTTATCGTTTAGGACTTAGGGTTCAGGGTTTATACGGTTTAGGGCACCTGAACAATGCCCTGTCGTGGAACGGCGTAAAGTCCAAAGCTTCGAACCTGATCAACGGTAGCTCTCGACATCTCTCGACGCTATCTTGGAAGCGCCGTAAAGCCCAAAAGCCGGCGGCAACTCTTCCAACGCCAGCAAATATGCCTTTATCGGCCCGGTCTTAAACTCTACAACAAGAAACAGTTCTAATCATTTACGGCCCCCATATTTGGGGAGCAACGCTCCAGGTTTCCCTCTTCCTCAGCAAAGATGTGCAGCGTTCGGCTGCGACTTGCCGGACAACTAGAGCGTCGAACAATTTCAAGGAGCATCCCCTTGGTATCCCCTTAGAGTCCCTTATCCCCTTAGAGTCCCTATATAGCTGTGACAGAAGTGCGGCTTTATCGCCAGGGTTAAGTCCGAATGGTTTCACATCTTATTCTCAGATCCTGATACAGTACCTTCTATCGATGTACCTTCCTTAAGTGAAAAAGAGCTTGTGTAAGTATGCCCGTAAGAATGGTCTGAAGAAGAAGAAGAAGCGGGCATGGGGCTGTCTCTGCATTCTGTTCGTCGAGCTGCGCAAAGAGACTTTGACCCTGGTTCTTCCGGGTATTCGTCAAACTTCTCGACTTCGGAACCTGATGCTCAAAGCTTCGTCGGCACCAGGAAGCGCAGTCAAATGGAGCCTGCGCCCGAAACTGTTACCCTGGCCTGGGATGTAACCAGAGGCGTCTTGAGGATCCCTTAAGGGCTCCTTTCCTCTGAGGGCTCCTTTTTGGGGCCATTGAGGGCTCCTTTAAGGGTTTAGGGTTCCCAAAACCCTAAAGCCTTTAATTTAAGGGCTCTTCTACCGGCCCAACGGAAACCCTGGATCTGAGACCCTCAACAGCCTGACGCAAATCCAACCAGGTCTGGAGTCTGGAGCCCCAAAACATCAACCTCTACCTGGACCCCAAAAGCATGTAGAAGAGTAGCCCTTAAAAGATATTGACGTGGTCATGATTTTACATACTTTTCGGTGGTTTAGGTAGACCCCAAAAGAGTTTGTACAGTAAAGGGTTCTAGACCTCTCCAATCACCGATAATATATAAACGAAACTCAAAGCTGGACCCTAAACAGCCAGCCGCATCTTTCAGGAAAGCCTTCTCAGCCTTAGTGGCAGCCAGAGCTTGCCCAGCCACTTTGTCCGAGATGTAAACTTGTATTGTCGATTTTCATGTAGGAGTTCGGGTTTGGGACCCAGGCTTGGGGTTATGTTAAGTATGAGTGCTGTTTAGGATGGAAGTTCTGAACATGAGCTGAGCGCAGGAGTTGGAGATTGCACGTCAAGTCTATGATACCGAGAGCATAAACGCCATCGATATTCTAGCATCGGTTCCTGCCTTTCTGTGCTTCAGGTCTTGTTTGCTAGCACCTCATTCCCGGCTACATTTACGAGAACGTCAGCAAGCCATCATAGCCGTCATGCTCAAAGGTATTTTCATCATAGTCACCAATCAGCATCGCCACCGTCATCATCCACATTCTCACCGTCATCCTCACCTCGTTGTCATCATCGCCATCATCATCATCATCGTCATCATCATCATCGCCACCATCGTCCTCAGCATAATCATCATCATCAGCAGAATATCCGTCATCAGATTATGTAATCGCAACCTCATCCACCATCAAGATCATGACCATCAGACAATGGCAAACAGCTCATCTTCGTTTTTGAACACACGTAGTTTGTCACTCATAGGCTTATCAATGAGGAACTTGAAGCGAACCCCCACTTTAAAACGACAAAGCTAACTGTACACCCGTCGTAAATTATTACCGCCGCCTCTGAGTTCTGGACAAGAAATTGCATGTTTAAGCTACTGATTACTTTTGTGTTGCAGTAGGTCCAGACCTCTGAAAAAGTCACATCTCAACTTATACAGCTACAACGCACAAAAATAACATGCGATACCATGTGGAATGTTTATGGGAACTTCATAAAACCTTCATATCACTCAAAAAAACCCTTAACCCTGAACCCTATATACTCTAAACCCAAAAGTAGGCCCTAAACCCTAAAACCCTCAAGCCCTCAAGTTGTCCAAGACGCCAGCTTCAGGCATAGTCCTCGGACAAGTACCGTACCCTCCAACACCAGCCTTCGTGCGGGACATGATGCGGCGTCGCTGGGCTTTTTCACGGCCGGGATAGTAGGATTAAGGGTTTAGGGTTTATGGTAGTCGGATTTAAGGTAGACGTTTTGGCAGGCTTTCGGGCTTAGTCGCCAGGGCCACCTAGGCTTCTCAGTGCGTCTGGCGCGATGCAGTGTAGAGAGATGGGCGATGTGGCTGTTTCGGATACACGCACCTCACCTTGTTTATGGTGCGTACCTGGCAATGTAGGATGTAGAAGACCCTAAAACCCTAAACCCCAAACCCTAAACCCTGAAACCCGAAACCCTAAACCCTAAACCCCAAACCCTAAACCCTAAACCCTTAACCCTAAACCCTTAACCCTGAAACCCTGGCCCGATAGTGCCGGCTCCGGTTCTTCTGTGTTTTGGAGTTCAGGCCTCGGTTGGCGAGGATTCGGTCTCGCTGGCATGGGAGGTGCGGATATTCAACCGGTTTAGGGTATAGGGTTTAGGGTTTAGGGGTTTAGGGTTTAGGGTTTAGGGCTGAGTGTCACACGAAAAACCCGAACTTGCGGTTGAAGCTAAATCCGTGATCAGGAGTTTTTATCAGGAATACTGCAGGCAGCTGTGCGCTTGTTAGCAAGATGCACAGATCTAAAGGCTTATGAAAAGCACCAGTGGAAGGGTGTCATATCTGCAAGAAAGCTAGAGATAGAGCTGTTTAGAGTTTCGTCCCTGGTTGACACGCTCACAGATCTGCCCGTATTTACGTTGACAGGGCTGCGAGGCCCGTCGTTGAAATACCAGACTGGGTGCTTTAACTTAAAATTCAACTACCATCGTCTCTACAACTTTCGACGAGAGCTTCAAAACCTCCAGGATATACTCGTCACCATAGCGGCAAACTGTTGCACACTGCAAAGCCCCAACCAAGGCTGGTGTGAAGAAGATGCCGCACGCGAGGAGAGAGAGCGTCAGGAGGCCGAGGAAGCTGCTCGTCTTCTTGAGGAGATCAACAATCAGTAGCTAGGACTTCCTTTCGTAGTGGTCGCCGTCGTAGTAGTCTTTCTAGTGCAAACAGCGGAACGGGCAGTAGCCAGGTTCTTTTTGCAGTCCTGACTCGGACTGCTACTCACTCCCAGCTGTGCAGATATTCGCCGTATGGCTGCTTCATGACAAGATCCAGGGGAGAGCACGGCAATGAACATCGGACGTCGGAGATTTCGATTGCTACGTTCGGCGACCACGGACCTTCAAAGAAATGTCGCCACAGCCCGGCCAAAGTCGAGTTGGGCACATCGCATGACTGGCTGGCCTTAGTAGAAGGAATCCTTACAGGTTCACCTTCACGTTAGGCTTTGTTGATTTGCGGTCCTGGCGCAGGAAGTGAATGCATTGATTGCACGGCATGATACCATGAGGGCCACGAAATACCCATTCCTTATATAAAGCATATAAGAACTGAGTTGTCAGTCGGATGCCGTCTTAAGTCTGTTCATGCCTCTCAGAAGTCATGTGGGCAGTCCTCTAAATTAGGGTCCCTGTTTAGGTCCCCAACATAGTACAGCACCCTTATAAGAACGACCCTGAAAGGCATCCTGATTTGGATAACTACCCATGCGGCTTCCGGGCCTTCAAGCGGAAACCCCAAGCTCCCACACCCAGCACTTCTTACTAAGAGCCAGCCAGATGACCATTCCCCGAGAGGTTTCGAGCAACCTAGGCTGGGATCGGGCTACAGGGTTCAAGGCTTCAGGGGTTGGAGCCTAGAGATCGGTTGCTGAGAATCAGAAGCTTATGGGGTTTCATAGACAGTATAGGGGGGCTGAGTGATTTCAGCGTCTAGGGTGTAGGGGATCTCTGTCTATGGGATCACGGTCTCCTTTCCCACAAAGCTGATAGATAACTGGCAGGGCGGCACTGCTACAAGCCCTCTGACAGCGTAATGTGCCGCCTTGTTGGAATAGTAAGACGGGTCCGGGGGGAGTATTGCAAGGGTTCTGAGGGGTACTAGGTCCACTTACTAATAAGTCACGTCTAAAGACTCTAGGGTACTATCGAGGCTTGGCAGGGTACGCTCGCAGGTGTTGGATCCCAAATCCCTAAACCTCAATCCGTAAACCCTCATCCCTAAACTCTAACCCCTAAACCTGGAAAGCCCTAACCCCTAAACCCTTAAAGCCCCTAAACCCCTTAACCCAAACCATAAACCCCGAACCCCTAATCCCTAAAGGCCAGGGTTGGCTCGGACCCTGCAGGCGGTTCTTTTGAGCCCAAAGCTTCTGCTGCCGAGATGGGAGTTTCCGAAAACAAGGGGTTTAGGGTTTAGGGTTTAGGGTTTAGAGTTTAGAGTTGAGGGTTTCCAAAATTAGGGGTACCTTATTTTGGGGCTCTTATAATAAGGATCCAACTATTTAGGGTAATTACTATACTCAGGTCCCCTATTTTCGGAAGCCCTCAGATGACCCCCAAGCCGTGGTTTGGGCATTTGTTGTTACCAGGGCTTCAGGGCTTAGGGGTTTGGGGATGCAGAGGGATTTGGGGTTTTCGGGGTTTAGGTCTTCAGGGCTTTTAGGGTCTATAGGGTTTAGGGATTTAGGGTTTCAGTTTCAGGTTCAGGGACAAAGGCTTAATTGGGGTTTTAGCTGGAAGCCTTCATTCAGCGATACCAGACACGCGTGCTCTCATAAACAGCATCTATAGGGGTTCGGATGTGAAGCAAGTGCTCGTGAGTAGTGAGCATCAGGGTGTGCGAGTGCCCGATTCATGTGGCTCTTAGGCCGTAGTACCAAGACCCTAAACCCAAAACCCTAAACCCCTGAACCCTAAACCCTAAACCCACTCTTGACGGGGTTACCAGGGCCTGGAGCCCGTGTTGTATCGTCTTCCTATGTTGGTGGAACCTCTCCCGAAAATCTAGAAGTTTGAACAGTCGGTGTCCCGGTGTTCACAGTGTCGCACAGCTTGGAAACAGTTTGAAGCCAGGCATGTTGGGGCATCCCTGCATTTTTTTACTTTTCCCAGCAGTTCGGGTTTCAAGAGTAGGCGCCTCTCAAGCCACATGAATTGAAGCCTTATCCAGAGACAGCGGAAGCTTTGAGCGCCCCCCCCCCCCCTTTCCTCGGGATCCATCTGGTCCAGATGCCGACAAGCTCTGGTGCATAGTTTCGTCCGGATGCGCTCTGTTTTGCTTCAGAAACTATACTTGCTCATTCTCAACTTTCACACATCGGACCAGATGGCAAAGAAAGCGCAAGTGTGTGCCGAGGGATAAGACGAACCGTGAAGGCACCAAAAGATCGATGGGAGCTTCGAGTCCAAAGCCGTTCCATTCCTGGTAATATAGGATCTTGAATGATTGCAAATTTGGGGCGGGGGGGGTCCTTGTTAAAAAAAATTACAGTATAATATACCCCAAAACCCCGTTCTACGTATTAAGGCCCCTTTTTTCGGTTATGTTGAGAGGCAAGGACCCAGACCGTAAAGCTGAAACGTCACGAATCGTAAAGTAGGGGTTCTGAGTTCCAGGTTCGCAAGATCCATTGAAGCCTCTGCAGCTCACATCAGGAAATATCTCATCCTCGGCCGTGATTCCTTGTAACTTTGTCCTGGAGAGTTGTCGGTTCCTGTACCATGCATGGAATCTACACAGAAAGTAGCTTTGGACAGCGGTTGCAATCTGCTTGCATTGCCGTGGGCAGATCTTGCGGCGCCCTTCCCAGACCTGAATTCTCTTCGCAGCTGATGTATTGTAGTGTGGCCAGTCTTGTGAGCTGCAACACTGCTTGGAGGATCATGGGACTTAGTAAGTAATGTCATAAGTACCCCAATTGGGGTTACAAGTAATTATAAGTCTAGATACCGCATTTATCACCCTGGTTACTAAGTCCCATGATCCTCCAAGTATGTTCGTCAAAAACCTTTAGAGAAGTCCTACCTTATCACATACCACAGGCCACTTTTTGCACGGTCTTGATGTACAGCCGACTATAAAGTTTTCTAGGAGTCCTATGCTATGCAAAGGTCATGCCCGAGCAGGTCGCCAGGTTGGGGATAGTGACGGTTAGTGAGTTGGTGCTGCTTCCGCTTTTCTTGTCAAGTAAATCCCACAAATCAGGCACACCAGTCGCAGAATCCATTCCGGATCAGATCAAGTTGCGGGGCCCTTCGTATACGAAGTTCATAGTCGCAATATCACCTTCAGGCGCACCTTCGAATAGAAACTAGCAAACCAGTCCAAGGAGCCGATATGGACCCTCAGCCCGAAAGCCTTGGACCCACCGAAGACCGATAGATTGACTCAAGCCGCCAGGTGAAGAATTCTCTCTTACGGACGATCCTCCGGCAAGACAACGGCGGCAGTTTGAGTGACGAGGTCGGTGTGGACCTCAGGTTGGACGTTGTGCACAGACAGCCCACAGCCCTTGCGATTAAGCAGCATATGGTTCAGAGTTCAGGAGCTGGCTCTGTTTTAGGGTTTGGGGTTTAGGGGTTTCCGTTTTATGGGGAATACAGCCACCTGCAGCAGTGTAAGGCAGATGTGTTAAGTCTATGTCAGGAATGTGCGCAGGTTCATATGAAAAGGTACACCTCAATCAGGCCAAGAACTCGGAAACGCTAGGAAGACTGTGTGTTCGCGAAATAGTAGCGCAGCAAGGAATAGAGTGGTAAAAAAGGCCAGTACAGTAGAGTAACATAGTAAAGCATCGTAACGTCGATGCTCGTATAGCCTAGTCGAGTCTTGTATAGCATAGCATAGCATAGTACAGTATAGTATAGGGCTAGGATATAGTATAGTTGAATTTTGTATACAACCTTTTGTAACACACTGTATTGATGAAGCGAAATCCCTGCATCGCTTCAGGTCAGAAGGTTTAAGCTGTCGGCTTTGGATTGCTGCTGGTGTGGCTTACCCGTTTTGCTCCAGTACTTCGGGATACTTGGGGAGTTGGGGTAGGGCTTTGGGCTCGTTTGGTAGCTGAGCTTGGAGCCGTGGGTCTTGTGCTATGTCAGCGGCTTTGGGTTTAGGCCGCCTTTAGGCTCTTGTACCATAGGGGTACAGTAGTTAAAGGACTGTCCAAGCGCACCAGCTCTGCAGACAACTTGGGATCCACAAGGGGCCTTCATCTCAGTTCGCGATAGCTCCGTGTCCTCAGGTCAGACGACCACACGCGGCAGATGTGAACTAGACATGACTGAAGGAGCAGGCATAACACCAACCAAGAGAATGATGTGCGGCATCTGACAATCTTAGGTGGACTTGCGGCGGTATTCTAGCATGTGTGCAGACACGTTGGGTAGGCGGGGAGGTGTCACGTCCTATCCGGGTCGCACTTTCAACATGGCTACAAGAATGTCACAGGCCCTGAAATTCATCTTCACGGCCTCTCTTCCATTGTTGAGTAATCCCTTCACTATGTGCCCAGGCACCCCCGAACTTTGATTTGCGTTGTGCTGCCTGAGATATCGCGCCCAGCTATGGCAAAAAATCGCCCGAACGTCTGCATTCGCTAAACTGCAACAAGCCACCAAAGCCATCATGGCGCGCCACTACTCCGGCAATTCTATTCTAGCAGGTCTTTATAGTATCCTCTGCCTGAGAAACAGAGGAGAGGGGCACACAGAATTGACTCTAAACCTTTGCGCCTCTGAGATATCTTACGTGCCTCCATACCCTCAAACCTCAAAACTTGGCGCTGGAAGCTGATGTGACCTGGCACCATAGACCTCGAGCTCGCAAAGTCTCAAAATGATAGACCCCCAAAGCAGCGTACTTTTGGATGAGGCTTCCTACTTCTGCTGGTGGGAGAGTTGGGGGCAAATCTCTTTGACCAGCGTGCTGGTCGCAAGGCAGACAGGACAGGCTCCTGCACAGGATTCTGGCAACAGCCATTGCGCCCTTTGGGAAAATTCTTCGGGTCTAAGGTTTAAAATATTAACCCCTATAAGTTTTGTAAACCCTAAAAACCCTAAACCGTCACGACTTCTGTTCAATCCTGCTCCGCCCTCTCTGCAGGAAAGAGGCA